TGTATATACATATACATATATATTTATGTGTATACCTTCACTCCCTGTGCGGGTGTCCTGTGGTGTGGCTGTGTGTGCCATGCGCGTGAGAACGTTCAGCACAGCGAGTGGCAGCGGCAGCGCTTTGTGGTGGTCAGGAGCCCATCTGCCAAGTATTCCGTTTAGAATAAACGTTAATACGGTACTACACGAACATGCGCAATAAAGAGATATGCTTGCCTATCGGCGCAATAGGAAGTTATTCCGTTTAGAAGAAATGTCAACGCTACTATATGGGCATACGTAATGGGGAGATATGCCTGCTAATACGTTCAATAGGCAGTTGCATATGCAGTGACTATCCAGTGAGAAGTGGCTTAGGGTTTTAGGGTTTACAGTGGTTTAGAGTTTTAGGGTTTACAGTGTGAAATAGGAATGCAGGTGAGTGTCACATGACACCACACAGTGCGGGTGAGCCGTGCGTGTGCATTCGGTAGATTAGACGAGAGCACTGACGCACCCAACCGACACTACCATTGCCTTGCAATGGATGTGTGTACCTATGAGCTATCAGAAGTACACATTCAAATAACTGTAAAATACATGAATAGATGAATAAATAAATATGTAAAAACCAATAAGAAAGACCTATTTCAATTGACTATGGGACCAATTGGCCCAACTGTTTTATATGGTGTGATACCAAACACCACTTGATATATATATATATATATATATATATATATAGCATACATATATTATATATATATATATATATCTATACATACATATGCATATATAGACTATCGGACCACTTGGCCCAACTGTTCTATATGGTGTGATACCAAACACCACTTGATTCATATATATATATATATATAACATATACATATATATATATATATATATACATATACATACATACATACGTATTTATATATATAACACATACATGTTATACCGTCTGCCAATCTATTCCAACTAAATGTATGATACATATATATACACCTGTACATGCACACATACGTGTCCACATCCCATGACTGAGTCAGTTCGCTGGTCAGGTAGCACGTGATAGCCACATGCGCTGTGGGCGAAAGTGCCGTCAGCACAGCCAATCCCTCGACAACAGTTCGGTACTCAATGCCACCCAACGAACACGTACGTAACGCCAACTGAGTGGCACACGCAGCCACTACGGGCAAAGATAAGAGACTCCGTCGGATGCATCTTGAAGAGAGAGAGAGAGTATAAAAGTAAGTAGGTGAGTGTGTGTATACAAGTAAGTAGGTGAGTGTGTGTATACAAGTAAGTAGGTGAGTGTGTGTATACAAGTAAGTAGGTGAGTGTGTGTATACAAGTAAGTAGGTGAGTGTGTGTATACAAGTAAGTAGGTGTGTGTGTGTGTACAAGTAAGTAGGTGAGTGTGTGTATACAAGTAAGTAGGCGAGTGTGTGTATACAAGTAAGTAGGCGAGTGTGTGTATACAAGTAAGTAGGTGAGTGAGTGTGCATATGCGCGGAAGGATAAGAGTGTATATACGTAAATACGTAAGGATGTGTGCATATGTGCCGCAGGAAACGAATGTGTTGCAGTTTGGTGTTAGTGGATGTGTGGTGTGCGTGTCTGTTATTTCAGGTATTGCCATCGCAGGCTATAAATATATCCCTCACCCCAGCAGAGCACAGGCTAGCAGTCCCCAACCCTAAACCTAAAACCCTACACTGTCGTTCGTTATATCAGGAACACCCAATACATCACATAGGGACACCCAATAATCACATAGGAACACCCAATACTTCACATAGGAATACCCAATACGTCTCATAGGAACACCCAATACATCACATAGTAACTCCCAATACATCACATAAGAACATCCCATATTTCACATAGGAGCACCCAATACATCACATAGGAACTCCCACTACATAACATAGGAACACCCAGTACACAGCCGCACTAATATATACAAGGACTACGCTCAAACACACCAAGTGGCAGAGTCAAAGAAATAAAGATATGAAGTTCCAGACCTTGGCCTGGCATTGTAGTCACCCGTGGACTTACCTCTGCACATTCTCTTTTGTTGGTGTCACGTACACAGCCTTAGCCAACGCTTCCACCAGCGGCTGTAGTGACTGAGTTCCCTCTGCGCCATTTCCATAATCATAATTCGCAGCCGCAGATTCGGGGTCGGAAATGGCCAAATCGATCCAATTTGATGAAATTTTTGGGTTGTGAATCTGGCGGGCTAGCCCTCCCTGTTGTGTTGTGATGGTTCATTTTGGAGACTTAGAGGACAGGAAGATTGCATAGGTGGAAACATATTATAGCACGAGTACGGATGATCAGCAAAATTCGGGAAGTAGAG